CGATCTAGCGTCCGGAGATCGATAACGTAGTTAGGATTGTTGTACATGTAGAATAAGGAATACACGAGGTACTTGCCTAGCGTCCGGAGATCGATAACGTAGTTAAAGAAATCCGAACACGCGGCACGGGCTAGACTAAAACCAGTACTGAACATGTACATAACAGGAACAAACCGTTCGACTTTCTACACCATATCCGACATTCTCCCCAGCCTCTCAAAATGCGACATGAGGGCACTCGCTAGGTTGTCTAGGATGCTTGGCTGGCCAGGGTGGTTACTGGGCCAGAGTGAGAGTGCCTCATGAAGGTAGCCAATTGCATCCTCCAAGTCCGATAGTCTCCCCAACCGCTCGTATCTGGTAATGTGAGCACATGCCATGTTGTTCAAACTTGACGGTCGGTCCGAGTGGTTGCCAGACCGGATTGAGAGGGCTTCGCGAAGCCTGACGATCACCTCCTCCACGTCCAAAATCTTTCCCGACTTCTTGTAATGGGTAATGAGACCATTCCCTAGCTCGGTGAGGGCAACTGGACGGTCTGGATCATTGACAGTGAGGAGCAGCAGAGCTTCGCCCAGGAGATCGATCGCATCATTGAGATCACTGTCGTCCCACTTCTTTCCATGCCGATCCAGAAGAAGCCTTCCGAGCCGGACGACCACTGATGAGCGTCTGCCTGTGTTCCCTGCCAGCTCCGCTAGTGCTTTGCGCAGCAATTCAATCCCTTGATTCAAATCGTCCATGTCGCCTTTAACCCGATGGCGATCTGCAAATGCCTGTCCACAAAGCAAAAGCGTTTCGCCATGGTCAACCGTACCCCAAGCTTGGAGGCCAAAGACAGTTTGGAATGCATCGATGGATTGGTCCAAAAGGGAGACGTTTTTGGTGTCTTTGAACAGCAGACAACGACAGCTGGCCTGCAGGTGCAGGGATGCAGCGAGTAAGTCGTCATCGTGAAGGAGAGGAATGATGTGATCAAGGAGATGGATTGCCCACTGAATCAAACGCTGGTTCCTGTTGGTTACGACCATCTTGTGGATTTTCTGGACTCGCTGCACTACTTCTGAGGCAACATCCCTTCCGAGTCTTGAAGGCTTTCCATGCACTAAGTCAGTAAAACAAGCTAGATTCAAAACATAGGAAACCTACGGGATCCGATGGCGTGGGGCATGTCGACCCTTCTGTAACGTGGTCGAGATCCCAGCATGGGACGACGGATCGCACGTCGTGTATGGACGATCCGTTATCGAAGGAGGGCTGGTAGGGTATCAATGGATTGGAATATGTCTTGTTTCCTCTGTGGGGCTGGCACATTGGCAATAAAAGGGTCAGTAACACCAGCGTATTTTGTTTGTCCAATCGGTCAGGGGTGACTTACAGCTCCCATGGAGGCATGTATGTGATGCTCTTCTTGTTCAGACAGGCTCGAAGCGTGGGTAGGGTGTGCTTGTGCGTTGTGTGTGTGCCCTGAAGCCTGCGCGGCATGCGGTTGCAAAACGTGTGGGCATGAGGAGGCGTCTGAAAGAGTCTGGGCGAGATGGGGTGGTTCGTGCTGCGTTTGTGAGTCGGAGTTGTTCTCAATAACTGATGGCTCGCAGGGGAGTAGACTTGGAGTGACGTCGGACTGCAATATGGTAAGTGCGATTTCGAGCGGCAACGAAAGACAGGGAAGTAACACACATCGTTGGGACCTATTTCATCCACCTGTTTCCCGACTGGATTATTTTGAGGCGATTGGACAGTATCTGTAGGGCCAGGAAGAGGGACGACCTGAGGGAAGGGTTAGTACTTGGGCCCACAAAACCGACTAACGGTCCATGAACACCTTTACTGAGAGATCACCGAACAGGAAAATCAAGCAGAAGCGGATGAAGTTGATCACGATCAGGGTGTAGAGGACGAGTAACCAGAAGAGAGAAGTAAGGGGATCTAAAATTCTGACCATCGTTGAGCCGGGTGGGGAGGTAAGGGAAAAATGAGAAGAAAAGCGGAGGAAGGAGGGGTTAAGTGAAGAGTACCAAGTCGATCAGCAAATTTCGCAAGACTTTTCAAGGGGCAGAACCGTCCGATAAACTTGTTGAAGGTTGTGCGGTGTAAATGGAGTGTGCGATTTCGATCGTTTTATCGAATATCACAAGGACGAAACCAGAGGTAGGGCGGAATGAAAATGGACAATGCTCTTCCAGCACCAATTCCATTCGTCCGAGACCAGAGACGGCATTTTACCGCATGTCAGTGCTTGCTGAACGTGTTTTCGACGCTTATTTGACCGTAGAAAACTTGTTAGAGGAAGTGGAACATTCCGGTGAGCTAACAACGCGTTGAGTTGACAAGGAGAGAAGGACTCACCAGCCTGTTGAGAGCGTGTAAGTCGTGTTGCAGGCCAAACCCCATACGGCGACAAACTCAATTCTTACTTGGGGATCATCTGAGAATGGCCACTTCATCCCACAGTACCAGTACCTTCCGAGCCTTCTGTCTGGCCGCAGACTCGTGAGGATCGTATTTGCATGCAGTCCAACTTGAAGGACGTTGAACGACGAACAAAAGAACTGGCGATCTCCTTCCGTTATATCCGCCGCAACGTTGCCCTCCGGATCCAGATGTCAATTTGCCACCTGCGGTTGTCCGCGATGCACGCCGACTAGTACTATTTCAGCAACGTTGACATTGGCACAATGCCATCCCTCTATGGGGCTTAGTGGTTCCCTCCGATGTGGCGAAGTTTGCCAGCATGCAAGTAGCGCTTCATGCGGCCCCCCTCGCGCAACTCGTCGTCTTCCAACATGCCATCTACAAATCCCACGCAATGGTTCCAGTCACCGTCAGTCTCTTCATCAGCATTCTTGTCGAACCCGTTTGTTCCGCTCGACAACTTGTTTGCGCCAAGGTCCAGTCGTCACTCGGCTGTTTTTCTACATCTGTCACTGGTTCGCTCGACTTGTGCCGATCTCAGTCTCGATACCAGAAGGTGACCTTTTTTATCCTTTGGTTTCTTTGCTGTTTGTTGCGAATCGGGAGCTTACATCTTTTAGTTCTCTTGACGTCTCCCGCTCTGTTTTTTTTTTTGCGGCCAACGTGACTTGATTTGCTGTTTCAGACTAATGCGACTCTCACGTCACACTCACCCACTACAGCCGTCGTGATCCCTCTGTCCTCAGCCAAAGCTACATAAAGGAGGAAATCATAGTCTGTCACAACCCTTTAAGGCTCGGATATGGACTATAAACATGAAGGTTTTTTAAAACAAAAGGAGCAACACCGTCGAACTGGGGTCGGGGATCGAACTCGGATTCCTTTCTCCGCTGCCGACTTTCTTGAACTTGGCTGACACCGTCTGATTTCTTTGGGATAGCTCTTGGGAGGCTTCCCTCCCGATACAGTGCATCCTTATTGTCTTTTAGTATTGTACGCGGCTGACTCACGTTTCGACTTGCCCAAGTATCTCTTTTTCGACGACTTCAAGCTGTCTCACAAGTTCGCCCTTCGTCAAAGGCAACCCCGTTTCCGTACCAGAACAAAGTCCCCTCGAGCACTGGGACCTCAAAAATCTCCTGGGCGGCGATAAGACCGGAAAAAAGAATCTCTCCCTAAACAGAATGGATCGCAAAGCAAATTCCTCTCGTCTGGTTTCTTTCCTTGGCAAACGTCTCGCGAGCCCTTCATGGCCGACGAGAGAATGGTGAATTTAGTGACTGTATAAACTTCTGCTTGAGACCGTGTAAAATACTAGAATGACCAATAGAGGTCGTATTTCCTCAGCGTCATGACCACACCAGCACTCTGAATCGGTAAATGAACTTGCAGAGCTTGTACACAATGCCAAAAGGCCGCAATTTCACGACCAGGTAAAAGGATTGGTTCCGTAACAAAAATTTCCCTTCGACCTGGATCGAACAGGTGACATCCAGATTCCAATTGAAACCATTACAGTCTGGCGCTCTACCAACTGAGCTACAAAGGGCAGATATCAAGCGACGCAAGTGTTGCAATCCCATCGGTAATACGGCACCACGCGCGTTTGAGGTTAGCGACACCACGTGCGCCCGAATTCTGCATACCCAAATTTCGATCTCATTCGTGAGCACCTCTCGTATGCTTAAATAGTCTGGGTGATCTGATTTTACACGATAACTCGAATCCGACCACTGAAAGTTGCCCGTGAAGAGCGATCATACTGACCACTGGCATCGCTCCATGACACAGTACTGGAATTTCATATTCAATACTAGTCAAACAATACTCTAGTTCGGAGATCCGGGTTACAGCTCAAGTAAGATGTACAAATTGCACCTGGCAAGATTGAACGTAGTTACATGTTGTCAAACGTAATTTGGACGCAGTCCCGTTCTGAACGATGAAAGCGAAAAGCAAGGATCCATCCTAAGTACAACAAGTGGTTAGCATACAAAGAGGTCACTGGGCTTGTACCACTCACAGGATACCACTAAAATCAACCGCCCAACCACGTCTCCATCATCCATCGCCGTACATGGCGTCCTCCGACCGTGGACCCGACTCCCCTCGGGCAGCAAGGGCTGCCGTAGGACAACAATGCTCAATTGCCCGACGTGGTCATCGTCTGGCCGACCCCAGAATTCCAGCGCATCAGGGTCAAAATGGAGCCATTCCGGCAGTCGCGCCCCGTCTTCCATGACCGCGACGTACACCGGCCGATGAGACGACGTCGACGTGCACGATATGGGCGTCGAGCGCCCAGATGTACCCGTCACCGAAAGAAGCGGATGGAACGCAAAGGGTCGACCGGTATTCACGACGTGAAGGGGGATATCAGGGGCCTCGCTTGATAGGTCCTGTACTACTATCGTCGGCCGCGTATGGTGGAGTTGAGCCGCAGAGGAAATCGAATCCGGCGAAAGTGTAACCGTATGATCGCAAGTCTCGACCAGTCGGACCGTCGTCTTGGAAGGAGACAGAGGGTATTCAGAGGCAACGGCGTCCAAAAGATCCGCAGAAATATCGGCATCCGTGTAACCAAGTGCTTTGAGCCTTTCGATACTAGTGGTGGCAGCGACACGAGTAGAGGATGCTGACGGTGGGTCGTAGGATGGCTGATACGACGGGCTCTCCTGCGTGGCTGAGGTGTCGCAGCTTCGGCGAGCCTCTGCGACGTTGGTATACATCACTGCGGATGCCACCATGATCGGACTTGGTGAATTGCTCGGTACGGCACCGTACTCGTCCCTGTCGGGCGAAATCAAGGCGCTTCGTAACGCGGCATTTCCTCCAACCGCCACGAGCGTCGCCCGGTGATACGAGCTCGCGTTTTCCGCCTCATCCTCGTCCGAAAATTCCACGTCATCCTCCGAATCAAGAATCCCCGCGTTCAACCAGTGTCCATAGTCCTCAAACTCGACACGTTCGTTCGGGAAAGACCGCCCAACCTCGTCAGAAGTTGCTGTGGAAGACGGCTTGTTGCCAAAAACCGGAGACAACGGTGAGGGCTGAAGCGTCGAGTTCGACTTTGTTGAGCGCTTTCCCGATTTGATCGACAGGGGCTTGACGACCCCAAAGACATCCTCCGTGCGGACGACGTACTCCCCTTCATCCTCGCCTTCGCTGTATACCCCACCCTGCGGCCGAGTGCGGGGTGGACCAAAGTCTGCCCGTCGCCGAGGGATCACAGAATCCGGTGTACCCAGGGCGAACCCCTCAAGACGCTCTGATACGCGAGCCATCTTCCTTCTCAGACGCTCCGCCATGGTAACCCCAGTTGATTTGGACGGAGAAAAATCCTTGGAGAATAGAGAGCTAGCCGTCCGGGGCTTCTTGGAGGCGCGACTGGACCGCGACTTTCGACGTCTTGTCCTAGCGTTTGACGCATCGATACCTTCTACACCGTTCCGTCTGTCTCGTCTCCAGATCTCCTCGCTCTCCCATGTATTGCTTCCCGATGAGGAGAACGTGTCGGCGGAGAAGCGCGACGTTGTAGACCACGTCCGAATCATTCCCATCTCCTCCGAGGTAGAGATCGAACGCTCTCCCATCTTGCGTTTCCGACTCGCTCGACGACTCATATGGGTGTCGATCGAGTGGAGGTTATCACTTGCAAACGAATGACCTTCAGAGCTAGGGTCGGAGTTCTCGAGCGAGCTGAAGAACTGTGGAGAAGCAATAGCCTGGCTGCTGATGCTGCTTGTCTCGACGCGGTATGCAGGGTTAGCGTGTGGTTGAGGTTTCGAAATAGTGAGGCGCGGTTTCGAAGCAACCCCAGTGACTCTGGAACGCAGGGTGCGTATTAGGTCCATCCTACGTGGTTTGTCGTTCGTAGAAACGGACTCAGACGTATCAACTGAATGACTATGCGCATGTCGGAGAGGGGAAGGGGGGAGGTTTCTGTGCCGGTCGGTTTGGTGTTTCTTTGGCGATGGCGAGAGGCCTTTGGGTGGAGGTTCAGGCGTCGAGACAGCGAGGATGGTCTCTGGAGGAACAATGGCGGCTTGAACTTGGACACGTAAGTCGGCCGTGGGTACCTCCGTC